AGACTGAACTTCTTATAAAGGGCCTGGCCTATAACTATGGCGACCTTTAATGGGCTTTAAACTGAAATTTTTAATTAGGCCGATGTATCGATAGTGGCGCTATTGACTAGTCCAAGCGTGAAGTACTGAAGTGTTTGGTGGGCATCTTTAACTACTAGCATTTATTAAAAGAAAACGGGACAGAGTTTTATAGATCGCGAAATAATTTTGTCGTGTGACACAGACAAATCTCGTAAGTGTACTGTTTTCTTTCTTTTACCGAACCACGTATCCTAAAATATGCAATTATTTCATTTTCTGTAAAAAATACTCCCTCTGTTTCTTAATATATGATGTTTTGGGTTGATACACGAAAATTAAGAAATTTACATTATTCTAAAAAGCACTTTAAAAGATATAATATTATAATAATTCAACCAATTATAAAAAAGATTATAAAATTTTATTGGTTGAACAGTTTTCAATAAAGTTAAAGTTAACCTTAAAACCTCAAAAAATACCTTAAAACTTCAAAACATCATATATTTTGAAACAACTTAAACCTTCTAAAACATCATATAATTTAAAAGGGAGGGAGTATAAAAGAAAGGTAAATATATTTTTATTGCAAATGGAATCTACAATGTTTGCAGTAACCTTTAGTGAGCATCCATGTGATATGTCCGACAATTCATGGCCTTAGTATATTTGTATATAAACTTTTGTTTGTTTCTCAGAAATATTTCTTAACTTTATTCTCAAGACAAAGTAGGTACAAACAACTCTCGTGTAAGTATGGATTCCTTTTATTTTATGCTAAATGTAGACAGAACATAGATTGATAAACTCTCTTGTAAAAACTCTGCTCAATGCAGACAAAAGTCGTAACTTTCTGCTATCAACTTTTTATTATGACAACAGTTAGATACTTTTGTAACATCATCCCCAAATCATGGTTTCATAACTCTTTTTTGCTATGTGGTTAACTTTCACTGGTCTTCTCGATAAGTTGACTTCTAAACTCGTTTATTCATATATTTAGAATGAACATTTTTGGAAACATGTATGTTTAGATTAGCTTTTGTGCTACATAACATAGATATATATAGTCGACATAAAAACAGCATAGAGATGTATAACTGTTATGAAATCATGTAATATAATTACTAAAATGCTCACGTAGCTGCTACTATTTTTTAGTTTATGCTTGTCAGAGATATAATTTGAATTTAGAAATTAATCGTATTTATAATCGATCTTGTTTTTAAAAAAAAAATACAACAATCGTAAATCTTAGTATAAAATAGTATTATGTAGTTTGACGACTTATTTATATCCCTTATTTGCTAACTGATTGGAAGATGTTTGCTTGGTGTTATATTCATGATGTTACAACAACACATACTCCTTTCATAATATTCAGGATGTTAGATTGGTGTTAATGTGTTATATTTTCGGTGTGGAATCTGGATTATAGTTTTTTCAGTTATTGGTCCCATTATGTTTTTTTATATTTAATCTCGAGTAGAATGTACAGCTGAAGTACTTTTAACTCTCATGAAAGCTGTACTTTTTATACCATGAAATATGGATCCTTTAAAATGTTATGTGACTTAATGTAAACTTGATATAATTTTGTATATAGTAAAACTTAGAAAATTATTTAATGATGTGTAATATTCGCCGGAAAAGTATGTATACTATTCCAATACAACATTATAGTATAATACACTGAATATTGTTTAAGACAAGTCCATACAGCTTTGGACCCATGTAGGTCAAAGTTACTGACACAAAGTAGCTAAATGAACATAATAGTAAATGTGAAAGAAGTAGATAACAAACACGGTGTAGAAATCTAATGATCTCATTGTACTCAATCCAAAGATATCAAGAGTTCCATTGGCTCGATCTACTACTAAGAATTATTCTCACTTATTTTGAAATCTATCACTGAAGTGATGAGAGATTGGATTGAAAACATCGTTCTCAAGAATCTCAACCTCTGCCCAGACACCATTTCAACATGAATAAATTTATATATACAATGTTTCTAATCCAACCTCTCATCATTTCAATGTTTATTTAGTTGTACACAAGTGTCATTCAGTTGGTTAGATACTCAACAGTGTAATCAAAAGCTAAAAGTTAGCTTTCTAAAAGCCCTTTGGCTTTCATCATATTAATATAATGTTAGAACTTCCCAAAAAATTCAACATCATATCTTACCAAACAATCTTAGAATATAACCATATCACTTGGGAAGCATTCGAATGCGACTAGAGAGATTTGCCTAAAATAATTATTTCAATTACATTTTTTCACCTCCCACCTATTGGTCTGATTTAGCAGAATACAATCAAAGTTCATAGACTTTTTTATATTGAATATTCAGCAGAAGTTTATGAAAAGGAAACCGTAAGAATAAATATTAAAGCATTATGCAGTGGCAAGATTTCTGCCCATATGACAACATATTTTGAGTTAAACACAATGTCAATCTTTCATATAGGACTGAGAAAGGATGTGACCAAACGAGACAAAACAGTATCCTATAATATACTCAATGATAACTTTTTTTTTGTTTCTATACAGAAGTTATGGTTTCATTTGAATGTGTTCATATTCATGACAATAATGTATTAGAAAACTAATCAATTAAAGTTGTATCTGCTAGGCCAAGTTAAATTTTTTGTCATCAATTAAATTATTAATTCCGACAAAGGTTTGAAGGAGGATTTTTTGTTTTTAAAGTTCTGAATCTTCTGATACTTCTGAATATCCTTAAATAGCTCATGAAAAAAAAACATATGAAAAGAACCATAGTATGCATTAGGTATGTGTATACACATTCATATCAATCACAAAAGTAAATTCTATACAATAAAATGCTTTATTGTATTTGCCTTATAAAACAATGGTGGTTTGAGAGGAACAAGGAAAGGTTGTAGAGTAAATTACCAAATGTTTGAACAAGCCAACTCTCCCAACAATAGAAGGACCCACTTCACACCAACACATGCATGCCCCTTCTTTGCTTCTCAGATTTCCTCTTTTTAAAACTGTATTTAACCTCCTCCTTTAACACTAACTAGATTTTGACCCGCGCAACCGCGCGGGTGTTTCTTTTCGTTTATTGTTAGTTATATAAACATTTTGTTTTCACATGTAAATTGGTATATATTATAGTAATCACATATTTATGATATGTATAGTAAATTTTTTTCAAACATAATAATATTATATAATACGTGTTTTAATCAAATAGATTGTTTCAAATTTTTTTATATTATACATGTTTTTCAAACATGTGTTTGTTTCTTCTTCTATATTTTATTGTTTGTTAGATTAGTATTGCATTTTTAGATAAAATAATAAAAATAGAGCTTGATTAAATATTAGTATACTTTTATTTGCAAAAATAATATAAACTTTGAAGAAATTTTTGCTAAAAACTAAACTTATAGCTTCATAAATTAATATTATAAAGAATTTTATTAAAAAAATAAAATTTTAAACAATATAATTTCAAAATTTTACATCGAAATAAATTCGTTTAGTATATATAGCGTGTAAATTTTGTTAGGGTATATAAATATACCACATTACGAATTTGTAATTTTTACTAATATATTGTGGATACATTTAACTATTATTGACATATTTCCTTATAAATAATAGAAGATTCTTAAACTTATATCTGTTGACATATTTTGCGTGACTAATTTGGAAGGTATGGAATAATTTACCCAAACCAAATTGTTAAGTGTATCTTTGTTATTATAGATATGATTTTTCATAAGATATAATAATGATAAAATTATTATTGAGCTAATGTAACATGATTTTCTAATAATAGTCCATTTTTAAAAAAAATCACACATGAAATCAAGTCATGACTTCTGTTTTAATATATAAGATGGTGTTATTCAATCATGTATTTTAAAAGAGTTTAAATCTAAACACAATCTATTGTTATTCAATTGATGATTCTAAATTCTATTTTAAAATTCAGTGTTATTCAATCTATGATTGAATTTCTGGTTTTAAAATCTGGTGTTATTCAAGTTTTAAGCATTTTAAAATTCTTTGTAATATAAATGGATTTCAAATCATTGGTGATGGATTCTAATGAATAAATGATTAAATTCAAAATCCAAGGGGTATTGCAGAGATTTTAGAATCCATCAACTTTAACAATCTTAAAATTTTAAAATTTGATAGATTGTTAAATATTTAGAATTGATTTTAAATCACTAATTGAATAACACCCCCTAAGAAGCTGTGTTCAACTTAAACTTAGAGGGTGTTATTGGTTAATGTATTTTGACAGATTTAGAAATCTGTATAGAATTTATAAATCTTAGCAAAATATACTGATTTCCAAATCTAATATGTGAATTTTAATAAGTACTTACAAATCCGAGGGTTTTCCTTCGGATTTTAGTCCTTGTATTTTTTACAAAGAAATCCACACAAATCCACCCAAATTCATTATAACATCAAATCCATTAATGAATCCGTATGATTGAATAACACTTGATTTAAATTAGAATTTATAAATCATGGAACCAATAACACTTGATTTTAACTTGGATTTTAAAATCATGGAACCAATAACACTGAATTTGTTTAGATTTATAAATCTATTAAAATACATAAACCAATAACACCCACTAAAAGATTCAGAATGTCACCACATTCCAAAAATTTCTGCATTAATAAACTGCAAAACAAATGATTATAAAATAGACATTTGTTCCTTCATTCCTTTTTAATTACAAAGGTAGATATATTTATTTAAGAGATTACTAAGATGGTGGGTACATATTGCAAAAATTAGCAGTGTTGCTCTGCAAGGAGAGTTAATGGAGAAAGAGGGTTTTACCATTACCATTACCATTACCATTACCATTACCATTACCATTACCATTACCATTACCACCACAACTACAGTTGCAGAGTTCAGGGGGTTCCTTGGAGTAGCATTAAAGTCTTGAGGGAAACAAAATAAAAGGATTAAAAAAAAAAGATTTGCGTTTTTGTATAATATATGGTTTCTTTTTGTGATTTATAGAAGTGATCATTTGATCTGAAACAGAACATAAAGATGGTCTACTTTCGTCAGATTCTTCTCATGATCATTGTAGTGATGATATCATTACAATGCTGCAAAGTTTTTGCTGATACTAAAGAGTTTGATGACTGGAAGGCGTTAACGGTGGAAAACGGTGAGAGCTACATGACCCAGATCGGAAAACTCACCGGAGAAGACGGAGGAGAGAAGAAGAAGTTTCCTGTTTTGGAAAAGTTTCGAGCTTTACTTGTCTTGATCAAACCCTCTTATCTCCGGCGAAGAAAACTCGCGACGCCGGCTTCATTCTCTCCTTGGGAAGCACCGTCACCGTCACCGTCTCCAAGCGGTGGTCCAGTGGAGTCTCCGGCGTATTCTCCAGCTCCTCAGCGACCAATCCCTCCGCATCTCCGTCGTCCGTTGCCTCACCGGACTCATCATCCATCGAAACATCACGAGGTTCAAAGACGTAAACACAAAAACAGAGGAGCGTTTATACCTGTCGTCGTTTCAACAGCCTGTGGGATCGGTTTCGTGGTTTGCGTTGTTGCAGTGTTCTTTCTCTACGCGAGAAGAAGGAAGAAGAACGGTAAAACGCTGCCCTTTAAGAGCTCGACGAGGAAGGTTAGTGTAAACTCACTAGACGATTTGGAGAAACAGAGTTCTGTTTCTGTTAAAGAAGAAAGAGAAACAGAGAAGAATGTGAACGGTAGCAACGGTGTATTGCTTGAAGAAGACGTTAAGACAAGCGTAGAAACAGATATTTTATCAGATTCGGGCAATGCTGGTAGCTATTCAACGAAAGAGATTGTGTCGGTGCATGAAAAAGAAGATGATGAACAAACAGTAGACTCTGTTTCTGGCCCTGTTGTTAGCCATGGAGACGATTCTTCAGATGATGATGATGAGTCTTTTCATTCCGTTGGTGATGGTGGCTCTAGTCACTACTCAAATCCAAGACTCTCAACTGCTTCTTCTTCTGTTGGATCCTCTCAACGCTTCTCAGAATGCTCTCCGCCACCACCACCACCACCACCACCTCCACCGCTTCCACCACTCTCAAACAGAGGACTTCACACTCTGTCTTTGCCAAAACCGGCTAATCTTCACACGCTTTCGTCGCAGTTAACTGCTAAAGTTTGTGCTTCTTCCTCAAACCCAAGTCTTCCATCGACACCGCCGCCGCTACGGCCACCACCACCACCACCGCTACCGTCACAACAACCTCAAGTAACGAACAAAACTCCACCACCTCCTCTGTCTCTTGATTTTTCTCAGCGTAGACCCTTAGGTAAAAACGGAGCTCCATTACCTAAGCTGAAACCACTTCATTGGGATAAAGTCAGGGCTACACCGAACCGGACTATGGTCTGGGATAAGATCAGAGCAAGCTCTTTTGAGTAAGTTTTACAACTTGTCTTACATGATCAACAAATGTTTTCAAGAATATATGATTATGTGTTTGTCTTGTGGTGGTGATACACAGATTTGATGAAGAGATGATAGAGTCTCTATTTGGATACACAATGCAAAGCTCCACAAAGAATGAAGAAGGGAAGAGCAAAACTCCATCACCAGGGAAACATCTTCTTGAACCTAAAAGACTTCAAAACTTTACCATTCTCTTGAAAGCTCTCAACGCAACGGCTGACCAAATCTGCTTTGCCTTGGGGAAAGGTAAACAAAGATCAGCTCGTATAACTTAATGTTTCTTAAAATCTCTTCCAACTTCCGATGTAGAACTTAATCTCTAATATTGCGGACCATTTTTCTTTTTATAGGGGAAGGTTTGTGTTTACAGCAACTAGAAGCGTTGGTGAAGATGGTGCCAACTAAAGAAGAAGAACTAAAGCTGAGTAGCTACAAAGGAGCAGTAGAAGAGCTTGGCTCAGCTGAGAAATTTCTCAGGGCGCTTGTTGGAGTTCCATTTGCGTTTCAAAGAGCTGAAGCAATGCTTTATAGAGAGACATTTGAAGACGAAGTGGTTCATCTCAGAAACTCCTTCTCAATGCTTGAGGTATTATAGTGTTCATTTGTTTATTTCTTGCGTTACAAGGTAGCGTGATTAACACAAAAGTTACTTAATTAGGAAGCTTGCAAGGAGCTTAAGTCAAGCAGGCTATTCTTGAAGCTATTAGAAGCTGTCCTCAAGACTGGAAACAGGATGAATGTAGGAACCATACGCGGAGGCGCGAAAGCCTTCAAGCTTGACGCTCTACTCAAGCTATCTGATGTTAAAGGCACAGATGGGAAGACAACTCTGCTCCACTTCGTCGTGCAAGAGATATCTAGGTCTGAGGGAATCAGGGTTTCAGACAGCATCATGGGACGGATAATGAACCAAAGATTAAACAAAAACAGAACAGCTGAGGAGAAAGAGGAGGATTACAGAAGGATGGGTCTAGATCTTGTCTCAGGCCTTAACACTGAGCTAAGAAACGTGAAGAAGACGGCAACGATTGATCTGGAAGGAGTCGTTAGCTCGGTATCGAATCTGAGAGACGGGCTAAGGGAATTAAGGTGTTTAGTGAGTGAGAAGCTGAAAGGGGACGAAGAAAACAGAGGATTTGTTAGTTCAATGAGCTCGTTCTTGAGATATGGAGAGAAGAGCTTGGAGGAGTTGAGGGAAGATGAGAAGAGGGTAATGGAGAGGGTTGGAGAGATTGCAGAGTATTTTCATGGAGATGTGAGAGGTGGTGATGACAAGAATCCATTGAGGATATTTGTGATTGTTAGGGATTTTCTGGGGATGTTGGATCATGTTTGTAGAGAGTTGAGGTGTGTTAGGGTTCCGAACAGCCCTAGCCCTTTGGCTCCGTTTCGATGATTACGAACAGAGGTTTGGTTGTTTTGTTTCTGTAGGAACTTCATATGATAGCTACGTAAAGTAAGATTCAGACTTTTGAGTCTATGGAGAGTAATGTGAACACTTATATGCATGGATTTGTAATTTGTATATGTAATCCTAAAGAAATATTTCAAAAATGTTTAACAAATGTTCTGTGTGATATATATATAACTTGTATAACAGAGAACTAACACGAATTAAAAGCAATATAGAAAATAGCGAAACATCGATATTTAACGCTCAAAATGGAAAGGTATATAAAGATCTTACTGGAAGAAGAAAACAAAATAATCAAGACGAATCATCATTCTCATCAGGGCTTCCAGCGAGCCAGCCCCAGACGCCACCTGAGCTCTGTCGTTTAGAGTTCGTTGCGGCTTGTTCAGAGGCAGCCTTTTGGCGTTGGAGGAGTTCGAGTTCCTTTTGTAGTGTTTCTAATGTTTGAAGCTTTTGTCTTAGCTCTGCTACATCAACCTGCAGATTTCAAACGGCGTTAATGAAAGCTTATCAACAATAGATGTGACAATGAAGCTAAGTGACGATTAATTCACAGGGGTGTTTCACTAGACTCCATCGTCTCTAGGTATGAAAGAGATATGGCTATGAGATTAGTACCTCTAGTTTAAAACATCTTGACTGTTCGGCTACAAGTTGGCTACGAACAGACTGAAGTTCCTACAAAAATGTCAGAACAAAGATAGATGTAAAAGAGATGTTACAATGTGAATGCAATTCAAAGACTTTGCAGACACTCTTTAATGAAGAGTTTGGTTCACTAGTTTGTTCCAAGAAGGTGAACATATAATTATTACCTTGGACAAATCTGTATTACGTGATTCTCCTTCTGCTAACTTTTGCCTTAGTTGGAGAGTCTGCATCTGTTCCTTGTTTAGTGATGCCTCTAGTTCTTCCTTCTCGGATTTAAGAATGGCAATAATGTGTTCGCTGTTTCCTTCAACCTGGGTGATTCATTATCCAAAATCAAAATAAGAGAACTATTACCTAGTGTCGGTACAATCATCATATCTGCATTAGATACCTTTGATCCAGCGTTAGCGTTGTCCATGGCAATTTCCCGTACTCTGCTTTCTTGGCTCACCTCAACCTCTGACTCGATGTCTCTGGTTGTGGCGTTGTTAACAGCAGAGAGACTACCTGGTAAAGGCGCTTCTAGAGTCTTTGGTTGCAGTGTTGATTTATGACTTGGTTTAAGAAGATTAATCTAATACCGAGGAATAATTAGAAAAAATTGAATGCAAAATCAAGAGAATGGTACTTATGGCTTTACAGCATAGTCATTACCTCGTTGTTGTAACGTCCGTTGTATCCACCAAAAGCAACTAGCACATCTTCACCATTGTATGAACTAACGACTAAACTTAATCCCTGCGACAAGAAAAAGGGAGGACGGTTTGCTTTTAATTCTGCAAGATTAAAACGAAATAAGCAAAGACTATATATCCTTTTGAAGTCTTCAAAAGGCTACTACCCTGTTTCAGGAATAATGAAATACTAATTTTTTAATGGTTATCTGGAAATCAGTATGGTTAAAGTCTGTCCATCTAAGTACCTCGCTAGCAAGGGGTACACGTCCCTGAACTGAAGCCACTACCGACCATGTAAGAGTTGACATGTTTAGTACAGCACTTTCAGATGCCCCTGCAGTCATTTATCATGTTGCAGCACAATCATTCAACACGGAACTGGAAAAGCTAAGCAAATATCATTTCATTCCTATACATGGTTATCGAATTCCCAGAAAAGATGCATAAACCTACCACTCTTGTTATCACCGCCACCAACAATAAACCAGTTCTCTCCAATTGTCACGCCAGCATGTCCAGATCGGGGAGTTGGTGTCTCACCTTGTTGTGCAGGTCTTGACCACTCCATCTATATGTGACAGTTATATCAGTCGCTGACAAAGAACTTTTGAAAGGCAGCTGAAACAACGTACGCTTAGCTGAACTTACATTCTGCAAATCAAGGACATGCAGATCATCGAAACAGGTAGCATGTGAGCCCCCACCAAAGATAAGAAGGTAACGTTCTGCATGCACTGCAGCAGCATGATCAGACCTCGGAGAAGGAGATACACCTCTGCAAGTTGACAACAGTTTAAGTTATTTGTAATATATTCTGGTTATATACCTTAAATGGGCTTGACTTCGTTGAAAGAGAAATAATGCAGAAACATCATAAATTCTTACATGGCATCTATCTCATCCCAGGTCATAGTTTCTAGGTCAAGTTCATGCAAATCGTTCAGAAGTGATCTCTTTGCGTCTTGCCCACCAAATATCACCAAGGTTTTACCCACGATTGTGACTGACTGGCCTCCACGTGAAACCTGAAAGCAAGAGGAAATGAGTCTCAGTTCAACAAACCATACAGCTTTTCTTTTGTTTTTGATGGCCAATTTTTCTTTTAAATATGAAATAACAAGAGAGAAGTGAAAATATACCGGCGGTTTTCCATATGTCTTCAACATTGACCATGTACTGGTTTGGGTATCAAAGACCTTCACTGTGACAGGGAAACAGTAAAAACTGATTGTAATAATTAAGAATCCAGAAAGCTCCTATAAGATATTTACAAAAATCTCTCTCCGAAGATATATAAGCGCTTACCTTGCATAGATTCTGCGGGATCTTTGGTATGACCACCGATAGACAGCAGTTTGTTGTCCCACGGTATCTACAAAACAAACAATGAAGGCATAATAAAACGATGGAGTCTTTTTTTTGGTAACTAATATAGCAAGTGGAGATCATGAAGAGACTACTTTCGTTTAGCTGAAATCGCTGTCCTGAATATTTCTAGGCCGGAAAGACAAAAGGTAGAAACCAAAACAAAACGCATGAAGTTACAAACTAACCAAAGAATGACCAGCACAAGGAGATAGAAGTGTTGGGGATGTTTCCTCTGATTCAGTTGCAACTTTGGTTTCAACTCTTGACCAAGTCCAAGTTTTTAAATCTAGAACCTGAATACATTCCACAGAAGGCATAAAAATTGTCACTGGGAAAGAAAATGAAACTGAATACAATTAAATCATCAGAGGTAATGCTTATGAATCACGTGAGTTGCTTACATGAAGATCGCCAAGGTAACGGCCATTGTGATTTCCACCATATACATACATCTTATCTTGAATAACTGCTGCTCCATGCTGAAACAAATATGATAAACCAGATTTAAAAGATACAGATGATACATGAACGACATGACCTTTTACTTATCTTCCAAAAGAGAGAAAAGATATATCACCTCATAACGGGCCTTTGGCCGCGGACCTGATGTTTGGGGTGCAGTCCACTGGTTATATACAGAAACTGTAGCTGGGTCTTCCGAAACTACATCTTTATCTTGGGTTTCTGACAAACGTCCATTCTCAGCGGAAATTGTCTTCGTCTCGCTAAATGAATTCTCCTTCTCAACAACGCTAAATGAGTTCTCATTCTCAACAACGCTAAATGAGTTCTCATTCTCAACAACAGGCTCATCTTTTGTTTGCTACAGAGAATAAATGCACTAGAAGACTCAAAAATACTTTCTTAATAATTACAGAATCCCATGGGATACAAAACTCACATTGAGATGGACATCCACGACAGGATCTGGAATATCATTAAATGCCTTGGAATACCAGTCAGGATTTTCTTCCTGATATAAGGTAAGAAAGAGGGAAGAAATCAACTTATGCTCCAGTAAATTCTACAAAAAATTAGCCATAGACCTCTCTCTCGTTTACCTCTAGAGTTCTCACAAAGAGACGCATTGCCTCCATGGAAGGCATAGTTCCGAGCCCCTGCCAACTAAGTCAAAATGGAAATGATTCAGAACATTAGCATGTACATCTCCCAGTAAAATTAAAAAAAAACAACGTTCAAGGCTTATTTTCCTATGAAAAAAAAATCCTAAGCGGTAACAAGCTCGCGATGTAGGATTGTCTTGGCATAATAACATTATCTGCAATAACTTCTATCAACATGTCAAATGCATACCAAATCATATATAATGCTAATACATAGCCTGCATTACTAATAACAGCCTATATCTACAAATTACAGTACTCCTTTCCAATCTCCCTGATTCATGAGGCACCTGGATTCTTCTACTTTAATAACTGATGAAAATCTAAACCATTCCCTAATCAAATCCACCACAAAGCTTCTTCCAACAAGTATGATTCCCAAACTCAAGCAGGAAAAATGTAAAAAGGGGAGCACCGAATCTAACTTACCTGTTCCACTTGCTTCGCTCCACTGGTCTCCATGCACTAGGTTTCGGAGTGTTACACTGTCCAACAGTAGCCTGATTACAAAGTTAAATCACAAGGGAATCATCAACACTCATCCCCAAAAAAGTATTACAATCACGTTTCCCATCAAATCAATAATCAAAATCTCCAAACGACATTCAACTAAACCGTTACATCTCCAATTATACGTTGATATTTTTCTTAGCTAATACTCTTTACGGAAATGAAACCGCGTCGTTTCAAAGAGCTGATTAAAACTCCGACGATACAGATTCAAATTGAACACCCAAACAACCAGATCTCGTTAGATTCAACGATCAGTGAGGTTAGCAACGGACCTGCTGGTACAGCGCATAGAAAATTAGCGCAGTGTCATTGGAGAATTTCGAGCTGACGTTTTCCGCCGACGAATCTGATCCGTCGAAGCCGACGTAAGACGCGGCGGCGTAGAATCTCTCCGGGTAGGCGGGGCCAGATGTGGCCCTAGTCATAGCCATTTTGTCTCCTTCTCTGACTTCCACCGCGGATATTTGATCGGAGATGGAGTGGCGTTTCTAGTTTCGTTTAGTTTCCATTGCTGAATGAAATCTTGTATATTTCCTTGCGTCTTCTCACGGCAAAATATATATAAATGGTAGTTTCCTTTTCTAAGAGGAGTAATGCACAAGCATGGTATCTACAAGATACTATTGACATATATCATAAACTCAATATC